TGTTTATAAGATTGGGGAAACCTGCAGTCAGCTGAGACTGAAGAAGTCACTTGGATGAGTGACAAAATGTTTCTCCCACAAAACGCTACGTCCAGATGAACAGAATCAACTTTTTGAAGATTTACTTCCCTGGATAATTGAGAATGCATCAAAACACATATGTCTGCATAACTGAATGTTGAGACACGCCAAAGCGATAAAAATAGATTAATTAAAAACCCTATGGTTTGATTAAATTAAAACCCAGTTAAAAACACATGAACACATATAACCCCGCAGCCGCCCTGGGTGTTTCAACACATGAACGCACATAACCCCAAGATACATGAACGCGCATGTGTACATGCGCGAAACCTGTCAAACAGGTTGTCAAAACGGTTTGGTTGGCCTCCTACTTGGAATGCCGCCAATGTATTACTATTTTTGTTTATGCTACGATTCAGGAAGGGAGGGAGTGAGTGAGTCCTGAGTGATTGGTTAATGCTACGATTCAGCACAGGAAGGGAGGGGGTGAGTAACTCAAATGTGCTGTTAGCATGTTAGCAGAGCGATGCTACTGTGAACTGAGGAGCTATTGTCTTGATGTGAGCTTCTACTCAGGGTTTTTTCTTCCAGTCCAGACCAGAAATGTTTCTGTTAAGAAACTGGCTGTTGTCTTTTTTTCCCCACAATTTTAATTCTAAGGTAGATATATTTCTACTAATGAAATTAGTTTGCTAAAAGCAACAGGGATGACTCAATCAGTTGGGCTTGTGAATCATGACTCACGAGCAGTGTTGGGACTAACGCGTTATTAAGTAACGCGTTACAGTAACTACGTTATTATTGCGGTAACGAGCACGGTAACTAGTTATTATGCCAATATCAGGAACGCGTTACTCGTTACTGGGATTTAGATAGGGCCGTTATTCGTTACTTCGTGTGTTGCGTTTGACTTACCTCGGAAATCGGAACACGAACCTGGGAATAATGTTACACTCGAGTAAACGGCGTTCTGGTTAGCCTCGTCAGAGAAGTCTGGATTCCAATAATGGCGACGCCCTCGAAAACGCTTGTTTTGCTAGCCCTCTACAAAAACAAATTACTACTAAACACATATGCAGCTCATCTGCAGTATTTCCGAGTCCCGAGTACCGAGTACATAGGAAAGCACCACGACTGCAGTTTTCGTGTTGGACGTAAAAAGCGCACGTGACACTGTGACGTAA